TATTTTGCTGAAAATACTCCCAAGTAAATCCAGAATCTTTTTAAATTCTGTATTTTGTTTTTGAAGAGAAACTATCTTTGCTTTTTCCGCCCTACTGCCTTGTTTCAAAACTGCAAAAACCCACTTTGGAGGGAAAAATCTCTGTCCCGCTACTGCCAGCTTCACAGGCACCACGAACGCTCCAGAGAAGGTGGTAGGAAAGGCCTCCTGGGACCTGTCCCCACGATGCCCATTCCCCATAGGTGCCTTGTCTGGCCCCATACAGGCTAACGTCCACCTTGTCCATGGCTCCTCTCCTTGGGCTGGAGAGAGGAAGCGAGCAGAAAAGGCTCAGAGGCTGCACTTGAGGCACCCGAGAGCTGCATTGCCCCAGTGCTGGAACCCCCTTGCAACACAGCCCACCACAGATATTTCATGGTCTTTGCTGTACCCACTCTGCAGATCTTGGGTTAGAACACACATCACTGCAACATTTAATGTTTCCGTTCAAATAAATACATTTTTATAGCTGTGGAATGCCATCCAAACATCTCCACAGCGAAGCTCCTCACTGTCACTGTCTGCCTGGCTGCCCATGTGAGAAACAGGGATGGCAACAGGATGCCCATGTGGATTTTGCGTGACTGGCAGGTCTTAAGGCTCTTGGAGCTCTCTTTTCTACCTCTCTCTCCACGCGTCCACATGCTTTCCCAGAGCAGCTAGGAAAGAGAAATGCTTCTTCCATCACACCCAATGCGAACTGGTGGGCCCTCCAAGGCAGCAATGTCTTCACTTGCTAGCAAGCCAAGCGCTCATCTTCTCTAATACTACAGCCAGATGCTCAATGTAAGTGCATATATTTATTCATCATCATCAGCCCTTTAGATAAATTATTCTCTTTGCTTTTGAGGGCTGAGTGTAGGGACAGTTGAACATTATGGACATATAGAGCAAACTGACTTGAGGGATTTGCTCTCTATCATGGGAGCATCCATATTTTTATCTGCACTTCTAGAATACTTTTATGCTAAGATCATGTTTTAAGAATCCAGGATCATATTTTAAGATCTTTAGGACTTTGCCTCTGGATCTTGTCCGATTAGGATGTTCACAAGCCAACAGGCTGTTCGGCGTAATGAACACGGAAGAGAGATATTCAGTAGCTTGCGTGGTATTGGGAGATCAAACAAAGTGATTTCTTCTGCCTTTAAAATGTATGAAGCTGCAAAAATCTTGAGGGCATTTAAACTTCCTTTGATTGCAGGGTTGGTATCTTGGAAGTCGTATTCCTTTAATTTCCTTTACCCAGTTGCTTATCCCAAGAAGGACACACAGAGTGCGGTGAGTTTTCAGTGGAAACTGGTTTTGCCTCATTTTCCACTCCTCTCCTGCT